CGTGGTAGGGCGTACCCGGCCTCTACTGCCGGCCTTGGATCGACTTAACAAAACACCGCCAGCATCAAGCATGTACGGCGCCCCCCCCCCCCCGCGCCGTCGCGCGGTCGATCCATGGTTGAGTGTCTCCGGCAATCCTGCCCAACGGTCGCTCTACCGTCCTAGTGCTCCACAGCCTTACCGCAGATGGCATGCGCGCCAGAACTGCGCGACTTCATGGCCCCTCCGTCCGTTCTGTTGCGCCGATTACTCTAAAGCCTTTCATAATGATCCACCACCTTACCGCAGATGGAGTGCGCGCCAAAATTGCGCGACTTCACGGCCCCTCCGTCCGTTCTGTTGCACCATCAATTCCGGCGACTTTTGTGCGCCCCGCCCGCTACTCCAGCAAGGCAGAACAGTGGACACGACCCTTCCGCCGTGCCCCATTCTCCACCCGACCTCCCCTGAATGGATTGATCGGTTGCTGTGACACTCTCACCAGTGTCTCCAGCGGCAACAGACTGCTGTACGCAAGCACTGTCGAACGTACTACGAAGAGAGTTGGTGTCTTGGGATGCACCAAACCCACCTGCAGCAGGGACCTCCACATCCCGCACCAGGGCGCCTTCCACGCCCGGCCTACTACTGCTCTCTCCTCCAGCAGTGTCGCCCTCCCAAACGACCACCGCAGGATACAGCTCTCGGTGGCTGCTCGGCGGAACCCCCAATTCCGCCGCACCCGCGGCGCCCTCCTGCAGCGCCGCCGACCCCTCCTGGCCTTGCCATTCCGACTCGGCCTGCAGTAGCGATGGCAGCATGCCCATCATCTCCTGCACCTCTGTCATCTCTACTCGTTCAGTTACTGCTCCGTTCCAGTCAGAAAGCGTCCAGTTCAGAGTTGCGTACCCTGGCTGCTGGAACCCCGCTGCCTCTCGCTTGGCATAGCCCGCACCGTCTTGCGGATCCTCCCGGGAGGACGAACGCTAGCGTGTTCGTGAGCCCTAGCCCTGTTAAGGGCCGGCGGACTTGGGGCTGCTGTTTAACTGTGTGTATTAGCTCGCATGAGAGAGGAGAGAGGGAGAAGGAGGAGAGGCCCCAATTCTCGAGAAAACACAGGGACTCCGCACTATTATCCAAAGCCTCTCAGCACATACTCTTCATGTTGTCGCAGCTGCGTCCTACGTAACGGCTACTTGTCGACTATCTACTTCTACGCACGAACAACCCGCGCCCCCTATCTAGTACACGGCCTTGTGTATAGCGACGGGACACACCGTGCCTCCAGTGCTAAGCGCCCTGCAAATCGTGTCGTCTACGTAAGGTGCCAAGAGGAAAATACCAACAAGGGAGGTGCTGTTTTCACCTCGAATCCGAGCTTGGCGTACAGGGAGAACGATCGCGAGTTGGCCGTGACTTGCATCAGGAACTGTGGCCAGACCGGGCAGGAGGTAGACGGAAGCGGTTGAATACACAAAATAGAGCGGGAGGAAGCGAGGGAGGACGAAGAGGGGAGCAAGCACACGCCTCACCAACAGCAACGCACCGGTCGACGAATGCTTGCTGGCCGACATGCACATGGGTGAGATATACGCAATACAACCAAGAAGGGGAGGGGAGGGCGTGGTAGGCTGGCTGACCAGGACACACTGATGGTGGTTGGCTTCTCCCAGAGATTCGCCTAGTTATGGGGAAAGGCAATTATCTTGAGTACGCAAAGATTGGGCTCTCTAGCTACAAAAAGGTCAATTTTCTGCCACAAAATCACCGGCAATGATCGTCAAACCTTGCTGGCCAGCTCCCCTACCCAAGACGCGCCCTTGTGATCGCCACCGTTCTCACCAGAGTAGAGAAGCCGAGATCCTCGGCCTAAGCGGAAGCGGCCACGAACGACTTTTTGCCAGCACCGGGGGCTATGGACGAAACGGCCCCCAGGCAGGCCTCCTTCGAGCCCTTCGCGTGCACGTCGACGAAGGGCACACCCACGATCTTGCCGGTCCCGCCGTCCGCCACCACTGCGTACGCCTCGTGTGACTTGCAGATGCTGGAAACAACGGTGTGAATTTTGGAACCACGGGAGCAGGGTGGGGGGGAGGTAGGTGGCGGGTACGAGTGCAACATGAGTCATGTTTGGCGCGTTGTTATGCATCGAACTAGTCTAGATTTCTCCCAGCTTCCGACGGATGCAACGGGGTCTGTAAAGCTCTGACCACAGGGATTGGCGTTGCAACCGTTCACATGCGCTGGTGTTGTTCCGGGCACTGACCTTTGAATCATGCCCGTGCCCGTCTCAGGACATCCGAACTCCTCTTCGTACAACTCTACGGGGGCGTGTATGGAGGTGTTGAAGTCTTGAAACGCCTTGCTCACGACGTGTGTCACCTCATACATCTGAGAGTCCTATTTCGTCAAACACAGAAGGAGATCATGTCACGATCAAATCGATTTGCGATGTTTCATTTACTTATTCGACTGGCAAGCTCGCGCCCAAACGAGTGACACTGTTGAAATACAACGCAGAACTGCTGTAGGATGTGTATAGTAGAATAGGTGCAGCTGTATGATTTTTGTTTTCTTCTGAATATGACCTAACGAAGCCATCTCTGAAGAAAAGAGTCTATGATAGATAAGCAATGAATTCATGGCGTCCAAGAAAGCTACCTGTACTTCCACGGTTTCCCGAGCATTGCTGTATGGAATGATACGTATATAGACGCGGTGTGATAAGTGACGTTGGTGAACGTAACATGTAGCGACGAGTTCTAGCGAGGAGTCATGAACTAATTGATGATTGATCAGAGGATTGTAATTGTAGCGAGATCACGAGGTGTTGCGAGCCCCACCGGGCTCACTCCCAACTATCCCTCAACATCTCAACTCTGCAACTGAACTAGGTTCCGGCGCCACCGGCAGGCGAAGGTGAAAGTCCCATTGAGGCAACAACGATACGAACTTCAGTCTCAACGACTGGACTACACATTGGCTTTAACCGTCTGCAGACAACCCTTGGGTAAATGGCACCTCAACACCACACTTTTCTATAGACACCGCAGGGCTAGCCAACACTGCTGTCCATCACAGTAGTCGAGACCTACGGCGCGGAGCGCGTCATTTGGTTGAAGCGAAACGAGATTTGCCGCACACCCCAACTTTTGATACAAACACGAGGCGATAAAAAAGTGGTATGCGCGGGGTTTGACGGCTCACGACGGTTTTGGGGAGCCTTCCTTGCAGCATCAATATATGTAGCACCTACGGCGTAACTCGGGGGGAGGAAGGGGGGTGGCGGGAACATCGACGGAATGGATACAGTAGGCACAAGTCGCGAAATTTGATTCATTTTCTCCGGCGGGCCCCTGACATAGCGGGGCCGCACGCTGCCTTGTGGCGAAACGAGCTCCACCCTCCTTCCGGTTTCAGGACAAAAACTACCCATCATGGACACACGCAGCCGACATATCGCAAAGTCTCTACATATCTACTCAAGGAAACATCAACAAAACGACGAGCATGAAAACCACACGCGTTGGCTGCACCGTGTGTTCGTGGGTCTGCAAACATTGTTGTTGGATACATGTGCTGGATGATTTTGTGTCACGCTGACTGGTAAGATTACCGTTTGATAGGGGGCACCGCGATGATTCACGGGGCCCCTCCTTGCTGTTGGAGCCGCTCTTTGAGCACTCCCTCTTTCGTCCGTGTGAAGGACGGTCGTCGACCTCTCGTGAAGTTAATACATCACCAAAACAGTCTCACCCGATAGATAAGTGGCGTAGGCCGCAAACACTCTAGAGTTTGCCCCTCGAGGGAAGCCACATCGGGATGAACTCTGCTGGAGACAAAGAGCGCGCTGCTGCGAGCGGAGAACAGATCCGCCCGCCGGTGCAGGAGGGCCGCGACGCGGAGCTTGCAAGTTTGCAACGGCAGATTTCGCAATCGGCGGCCCTGGTGGAGGAGTCGGTGAACAAGAAGAAGCCTGGTAGCGTCGTGGCGGATGCAGCCAGTAGGGGCGGCTGGGTTGCTGCCCCAAGAGGCCAACGAGAAGAGCCCACGCTGCCGCTCGGCGGTGGCGGGGGATTNCAAGAAGAAGCCTGGTAGCGTCGTGGCGGATGCAGCCAGTAGGGGCGGCTGGGTTGC